CCCGCGCCGAGGCGAGCCGCTCCGCCTCCAGTTCTGCCAGCAGCTCCAAAGTCGTCTGCTCCAGGCGGCCGTTCGTCTCCTCCAGCTGCTGCTCCGCCCGCCTCGCGCGCGAGGCGGCCTCCTCGCACTCCGTGCTGAGCACGTCGCGCTCTTCCTCGGCCTGCTGCGCAGCAAGGAGGACATCGCGGACAGCGGCATTGCCGGCGTTCCGCAGCTGCGCCATCGCCTCATGCAGCTCCGCGCGGGCCACCTGGAGAGCGGCACCCTCGTGGTCCAGCTCGCCCCTCGCCTCGTCGTCGCTGCGCACTTGGGCTGCCTGCAACTCCTCCCGGGCCTCCGAGAGCACCTGCAGGCTCCGACCCATCTCTTCCGAGATCTGCTCCGACCCCAGCAGGCTCGCCTGGGTTGCATGGAGTGCCCGCCCCATCTCCTCCCTCTCCTCGCCCGCGGCGACAAGCAGGACCCGGCACTCCTCCCGGTCCGCCCGCGAGGCCTCCAAGGCAGCACTCGCACGGCCCAGCTCCGTCCGCGCCTCCGCGGCGGCCGCCTCCGACCTGCTCAGGTCCGCGCGCGTGTCCCTCAGGGCGACCCTCTCCGAGCCCAGCTCCTGCTCCAGCTCCGCCAGCCGAGCCTCCGACAGGCCGAGGCCCGACCGCGCGGCCCACAGGGCGGACCTCTCCCGGCCCAGTTCCTCGCTCGCCTCCGCGAGGTCGCGCCCCAGGCCCCAGCTAGCGCGCTGTGCGCTCTCCGACGCCGCCAGCGCGTCGCGGCGCTGCGCGAGCGCGGTGGCGAGGTCTTCCTCCAGCCTGCTCTCGCCAAAGCGGGCCGCTTCCAGTGCACCCTTCGCCTCCTGCAGACCAACGCGGCTCTCCGCGGCGGCCCCGAACTCGGCGGCGCGGGCACGCGAGAGCTGCCGCCTGGTGGTCGCCAGCGTGGCCAGCAGGTCGCCGACGCTCTCCTCCCGCTGGCAGGCCTCCTCGACCTCGCTGCGCGCGGCCGTCAGCGCGCGGCGCGCGGCTGCCAGCTCTGTCTGCTGGTGCGCGGCGGCCGCGCGCCCAGCTGCAGCCGCGGTCGAGAGCTGCTTGTGCTGCTCCCGCGCTTCCGCCAGCTCCCCCCTCAGCACAGCCTCCGCCACGCCGTGCCGCCTGTGCGCTTCGGCCAGCTCGCACTCCTGCGCCTCCTCTGCAGCCTGCCGCCCTTCGCCGGCGACCGCCAGCTCCAGTCGCAACTCTTGCAAGTCAGCCTCCGTGGCATGGCGCTGCTGGCTTGCATCTGACAGCAGCCTCGGCAGCGCCGCCTCCGCGGCGCGGAGCTCCTTTGAGGCGTCGGCCAGCTCTTCTCGCAGGACGCCCAGCTCGGTCCGATGCTGCTCGCTGGCCTCCGCCAGGTCCGATCGCAGGGCCACCTCCACGGCCAGTTGCTGCTCGCGCGCGGCCGACAGCTCGCCCCTGAGGGCGCCGCTGGCCTCTGCCAGGTCCGCTCGCAAGGCCGCCTCCACGGCCAGCTGCTGCTCGCGCGCGGCCAACAGCTCGCCCCTGAGGGTGGCGCTGGCCTCCGCCAGGTCCGCTCGCAGGGCCGCCTCCACGGCCTGGCGCTGCTCGCGCGCGGCCGACAGCTCATCCCTGAGGGCGGTCTCGATGGCCTGGCACTCTTCGCGAACCTCCACCAGCTCCTCCTCCAGCCTGGCCTGAGCAGCCTGCGCCGCGGCCTCGGCGTCACTGTGCCGGCCATAGGAGCCCACCAGGCGGAAGTGCAGGTCGGCCGCGGACTCCTCGTGGCGGGCGCTCGCATCGGCACACTCGGCGCGCGAGGCCGCGAGCTCTGCAGACGCGTCTCGCACGTGCTGGGCGATGTCCTCCAGCTCGCCGCGGGCCTCCTCCTGCAGGCCCACACAATGGTCCCACCACGCTCCAGGCTGCTCCAGACCAGGTAGGCCTTCGCACGAAGGCGGCTCGCAGGCAGGCTCCTGCAGCTCTGGCGAGAGCGGCGCGCTGGGCGCGGCCGCGCGGGGCGCCAGCGTGGCCTCGCGGAGCTCCGCGCGGAGCACGAGCGCCTCCTTCTCCGCCGCCACGGCCCTCTGCTCCCGCGTGTCCACAACGCGCCAGAGCTGCTGCGGCGACTGCCAGTCCCTCCGCTCCCTGAGCTCGCTGCGCGCCGTCTGGAGCTCCTGCTCGCACCCCTCCAGGAGCCCCGTCCGCCCGCGCAGTTCCGCGCGCAGCTCGCCGCAACTGTGGCCGAGGCGCTCGATCTCCGCCTCGAGGGCGGCAACGACCGCCCGGTGGCGGACGCTCTCGATCTCCGCCTCGAGGCGCACGTAGTCCTCTGCAGGCTCGGGTGGCCCCACGTGCAGCCAGGGCGAGTGCACGGCAGCATCAGGAGGCGGGCTGTCGCCAGCGCCCCGCTGCTCGCCGCCAGCCCCGAGGCTCCAGACGGGCTGGGCCATTGGCCCCTGGCTGCCGTCGGAGTCGTCCTCCAGGCCCTCGGCCAGCTCCGGGGAGTCCAGCCCGAACCTGGGCGCCACGGAGCTGGCGCCGCCCAGTCTGAGGTCCGACCAGCTGGAGCCCGCAGCGGGCTGCAGCGACCCCGCAGCCCCCTCGTCGGGCTCCTTGTCGGGCTCCCCAGAGTCCGTGCGGTCGTGCTCCAGCGCGCTCGTTCTGCCAGGCCACGTCTTGTAGCGCTGAAGGGGAGGGCGGTCCCCGCTTTGCTGCTGCGGCCAGCCACCGAAATCGGGCGTGGTAGGGATAGAGCTGGCGGCGGCGTCTGGGAGACCTCTGGCCAGAGGACCTCGCGGGCCTGTCTCACCATCCTCGCCAGGGCCGCCGCTGGCGGCAGGGCCAAAGCTGAAGCTTGGTGGTGCCCGCGACGCCACGGGCCCTCCCGCCCCATCCCCGCGAGCCGGCGTGGGCTGCTGCTCTGGCGGGCCGAAGCGCGGGAGCTCTGGCTCGGCGTCGGCTCTGGCAGCAGCGCCTGGGGGGGGGGGGCAGGAAATCCGAGACCGCCACACTCCCCAGACCTCTTCAGGAGCGCGCGCTGACCAGGAGCCCGAGATGAACCCAGCCGTGGCAAAGCGGGCCCCAAAGGAGGCCCAGCAGGACCCCAGGCATCCGACGATCAGATGCTTTTCTATCCGCGGCCCCTCAGCTCCCGACCCCTTCCCCCCGCTTTTGATAGCCCCAGGGCCCGAGATTCGCCCCCGAAGGCCGGAATCGAGGAAAAACGCCCGGTTTGAAAAAGTAGAACCGTATGCGATCTGGGTCCCCGAAAGATTTCGGGCCATGACTCGGGCCTCCGCTCTGGACGATCCGGGCTCCCCTGGAACGCTCTCGACGAGGAGCGGCAACCGGAAATCACCCTGGGGCTGGAAAGCCGCCGAGAACCAACGACAACGCCCGAAAACCTCCAACCCTGTGCTCCGACGCTGAAAACAAGCATCATCCCGAGTAGACCCCACCCGCGTCTATAGAGGCCTCCTAGATGGGGTCCGAGTAGATGGGGTCGGATGATTGTGCCGCATCGCCGATGCATCGCCCATACATCGGCGATGCATCTGCGGTGTTTGCGACGCATCGGCGCCGTCGGCGAGGGAAAGCTCTGGCTCCACATCGAGGCGCATCGCCGATGCATCGGCGATGCGGAGCGATGCGGAGCGATCCTGGTCAGACCCCATCTGAGAGGCCTAGAGGTCTACGGCACTCTTCGAGCCCGCTCGAGCTGCGACGGCCCCAGGGCCCGACGCCGGGCGGAAAAGCACGCCGAGGCCCCAGGGAGCCCCCCGAGCCCGAAACCTGTCGCGCCACCTGCCCCCTATGCCCCCCGGGAGTTTCCCGAGAAAGCTGGTGCGCCACAAAGGAGGAGGGAGGAGGAGGAGGGAGGAGGAGGGAAGAGGGGGAGGAGGGAGAAGGAGGAGAAGGAGGAGGAGGAGGAGGGAGGAGGAGGGAGGGGGGGGAGGGGGGAGAAGGAGGAGGAGGAGGAGGAGGACCTACGTAAACCCAAGCGGCATCAACGATGTTGGAATAAACCCTCCCTCCAAGCTCCCCTCAGTAGGCCCATACAATGGTTCATGTCCGCTGTGGGAACTGCCTCGTTGGAAGGCAGCCGTTTGACGACCCTGAAGCATGCCAAAGTATTATTCTCGGGACCTCAGCGCCACGGATCAACCTGACTGTTGCGTCTTGACGATCCTAAACCGTGCCAGAACGCCAATCCTGGGACCTGAACACCGCGAACCAACGCAACTGTTGCACCCTCATAATCCTGAATCCTGCCAAGGCACGATTTCTGGTACGCTGACCATGGGAATCCGTGATACTCTTGCAATGTGTTAAAGGAATGTGCGCGGCGAGAGCTACATTTTCAAAACGAGCCGCCCTCAACCCGTGAAGTTCTTGCAAGTTTTAAAGAAAAAACCGGCGATGAGGCGAGAGACACATTTTGAAAACCATCCGCCCTCAATCCGCGAAGCTCTTGCAAAAATTTAAAACGAATGCGCGCGGCGCTAAAGCAGGAGCCACAGCTTGGATACCACCCGCCCTCCATCTGTGAAACTGTTGCCAACGTTTTAGCTTCAGTGTCATAAGTGGTAGGGAAATCTCAGGCGAAACGCCGAACCTGCCCTTTTGACCAACCTCGGGGCGCGGCACGGAGAAGTGACTTATGAGGAAGAGGAATGGAGGAGGAGAAGAAGGAGGGGAAGGAGGCAAGTGGGCGAGGAATGTTATAGCGTGAGTGCACCCGTGAGTGTGATGAGAATGATTGCCTGTACTGCTGCTCTCGTCTTGAACAATGAGAATTCGGTGATGTGTGAAGGAGAGCTGCCTCTAAAGCTGTCGCGCAACGATGTCCGGTGGAGGCCCCTCGACCCAAGTGTGCTGTAAGTGGTATTGCTGTTTCCTTCCCCCTTTTTCGGACTCTGCTGTGCGTTGGGACGTGACCCCCGATGTCACGAAGGCATGCTGCTACGCTCTGGCCTTCTTAGGCTGTCATCCCATTTTCCCCGTTTCCCTTCTCACCCCTGGGACAGGCTGAAGAGACAACGGCCTTTAGCTTGCGATGCGATAGGATGCAATGCGAGGGGGGGACGAGGAGGAGGAGGAGGGGAAGGAGGGAGGTGGAGGAGGAGGAATGAGGATAGAAGAGGAGGAGGAGGAGGAGGAGGAGGAGGAGGAGAGGAGGAGGGGGAGAGAAGGAGGAGGAGGAAGAGAAGGAGGAGGAGGAGGAGGAGGAGGAGGAGGAGGGAGGAGGGAGGAGGAGGAGGGAGGAGGGGGAGGGAGGAGGAGGGAGGAGGGGAAGTGAGGAAGGAGGAGGAGAGGGAGGGCGGAGGAGGGAGGAGAAGGAGGAAGAAGAGGAGGAGCAGGAGGAGGAGGAGGAGAGAGGAGGGAGGAGGGAGAAGTGAGGAAGGAGGAGGAGGAGGAGCAGGAGGAGGAGGGGGAAGAGAGGGAGGAGGAGGAGGAGGAGGAGGAGGAGGAGGAGAAGGAGGAGGAGGGAGGAGGAGGGAGGAGGGAGGAGGGAGGAGGAGGGAGGAGGGAGGAGGGAGGAGGGAGGAGGGGGCAGGAGGAGGACGAGCGAACGACGCGCTGAAGGGGGCGCGTGTCCGCGGGTTAGAGGCGCAGCGGGCCCGCCCCGCCCACGAGGCACCGAGGCAGCCTCAGGACGCGACGAACGGCAGCGACCACGTCCTTGTGGTACTTGAGCTCGTTGTGGATGGCGGGAGTGCCCATCTCTGTGTGCACCCGCAGGATGTTGTACGTGCGATAGGTCACGGCCATGCGTGTGATGGTGTGCCTTGGGATGTCGTCGATGTTGTTGCTCTCGTGGAGTCCGAGTCGAGTGAGGACATCACCAGCAGGTTGTCCCCGAGGTTGAGCCGGTAGTGTCCACATTCGTGGGCATGTAATGTAGTGGCTGATGTCGTCCGTGTTCTTGAACTGCGAGTCTCTGTCGCAGCCGAACAAGCAGTTCTTCTTGTGGGGATTGACGTGCACGCGGTGCGATGTCGTCCACGCTCCAGACAAGGTCTTGACCACGGGCCAGAAGAGCGAGGCCGTGGAGTTCGCCAAGTGGGGCCGCAGGTCGCGCCAGCTGCGCTCAACACTCGCAGGGAGAGCAGCTCGGCCAAGAAGTCCGTCACGGTCGGATGTATCGGCGCCCATCAAGATGTCATTGGCGGAATAGATGTAGGGTGTGGATGTGGCCGTAGTGGTAGACTGAGTGCCGTCGTCTTCCTGCGGGAGGTTCGGGTTGGTGGCACGTTCCCGTTCGATCCAACGACGGCGGGCGCGGTGCTCAGCAGCTTCATCAGCAAATTATCGATGAGTGTTTGTCGGCATGTGCTCGGTGGTGTAGATATGTATGCGGTGGTTGCGAGATCGTTCAGTTCGATGCCATGCACCGTAACATATCTCCTTCGCCATGTCACGGCGAGCATTGGCTGCCCCGCACTGGTCGTCGAGGCAGAAGTGCGCATTGAACTGGGCGCGGTGAAGAACAGCTGTGATGCACGGGACGCACCATTCCATCCAGTCGTTGAAGTTGTCCATAATGCGGCCGAAGAACACGCTGGGGATCCATCTTGCAGCCCATGCTTCTGCCCGTTCATTCAGGTACTTCATGGAATCATGATTGTCGTTCCCATTCGGCTGCTCGGTCGTAGCAGGTGCCATCTGGGGTCCATTGACAACAGGTAGTAGTGGGAACCATGCGCGGAGACGGTGATGAATAGTCTTGTGGAAGGAGTCGCGGTACAGCTGGCGTTGTAGTTCCCGCAGGTATGCTTGTTGTAGAGAGGCGCGTGAAGTGGCACTCGAAGTAGCACCATTCGAAGCTATGACACCAGCTTGACTCTGATGAGATCCGCCAGTCCTGTCACGACTGGGCGTGTGAAGGTCACCAGCCCTGTCACGGCGTGGTGCCTGGTGGGCTCCAGTCCTGTTACGACTGGGTGTGTGCAGATCCTCCGCCTTGTTACGACGGGATGCCATGATAGCGTGTCGTCCAGCAGCAGCAGCTTGCGCATGTGCTCGTTGAAGTATATGGGCGGCATTCACCGTAGATCCTGTGGATCGCGTGAAAATCTTGAAGATGGATCCTTTGCCCGTCGCGATCAGCTTGTTGTGGAGAATGTCGTCGAATCGCTGTACGATGGAAGTGGCGTCATTCCAGCAAGAAGCAAACCATTTGCCAACAACTACATCTCGTAGCGGGAGAAGTTCTTCAGCATGGGCACGGAATGTGCGAAGCAGAGGCTGCCAGCCAGGGATGGTGGTTGTGGAGGCGCGCCACATCACTGCTGCGAGAAGCGTTTCAATACCCTGCGGGATCGTGGAGGACGCCCATAGCGTGAACGACAGGATGTCCATCTTCGTGAAGCTTGATGGGGCAGCACGGATCAGCTTGTGGAGCCCGTGAATCTCCTTGGACAGGAAGGCTGGGGAAGGCGGGTAGAGCTGGCCGGCGTACGAGAGGCAAGTGATGGCAGCGGAATTGCACATCTTGATGCACTGCTGGATGGGAGCGTAGGAGTCGCACAGGATCTGGATGCGCTCCCACCACTTGTTGGCAGGACCTTGCCATTGACGGTCGAGAGAAGCTCCAGGGCCGATGTATACGCCGAGGTAGCGCGCAAAGCTATTGATGGTGAAGTCTTGCCACGGCTCATAGAGCTGGGTCAGGATGGCTCGCATGCTCGCGGTGATCTCGGGCGTTGGCAGGGACCAGGTGGGCACGAGGACGCATCTCTTCGGTTGTAGGCGGAGAACAGCGCAATGTTGTGCAGCTTACAGGTGTGGTAGTAGAGCGCCAAGATCCCGAAGTGCAGCAAGAACTATACCCAGGTCGTCGGCGCATGCGCTGAGCAGGCCTCTACCCAGGGCGGTAAGTTCCATCTTGAGGCCCTCGGTAATGGGATCGAATACTAGTGCCCAGGGCGCGCCGCTCAAGGGACATCCTTGCGCAACCCCAGATTCAGCTAGAAGTAGCGGGCGACGCGTACCACCCAGGTCGAGGAAGGCAAGTGGCATGTTGTAGCAGCACTGCAGGAGATTGAGAAATTCGCCGTGGATGCCCCACCGCCTTAGAGTAGCCCACAACCACGCGTGTGTGAGGCTCGGAAACGCTGCGGCAATGTCCATGCTGGCGAAGCAGGGCATCATGCTGGGGGCTTCGCTGTAGATGCTGGTGAACGGGCGAAGGTGTCCACCTTGACAATGTTGGAGAGAAATTGACGGCCATTGACAAAACCTTGTTGTTCCTCCTCGGTGTCCGACGCCACAGAGCTGAGGATGCGGTTCGTCGCGGAGGCGATCATCTTGATGTCACTGTTCTTCATGGCGAGGGGGGGGAGGCAGTCAGGATTGCGGGAGCACTCGCACTTGCCCATGGGCTCATCACCCTTGGGGGGCATGGCCATGAGCGCGTAGTTCAGGTCGTGTGGGATCGGTCCACCGTGGGCAATGGAGTGGAGGAGTGTGTGGAGGATCTCGATGCTGCCCTCAGATCGTACCCATGCTCGATAGGGCAGTCCGTCGGGTCCAGGAGCAGAGTCACTGGCGTGTTTAGCAGCAGCTTGGAGTTCTTCAATCCCAGGTAGAGGCAGGTGACGTGGAGGCATTGGTGGGAATACCATGTCCAGATATTGCTGCATCGCTGGGGCGTCAACATGCTTAGCAGCGAACACCTTCGACCAGTGAGATTGAATAGCGACTGTCGGGCCTCTGCTGTCGGTGATGCGGACACCTGCCAGAATCAAGCGCTTCGAGAACGGCTTCCAGATCTCGCTGCGCTGTCCAATACGACGAGCACGGCGACGCCATCGCTCACCAAGGTCAGGCCGTTGTTCCGCTTAGGCAGCTCTCGAGCGGGCGGCAGCAGCGCGACGTCGTTGTTCAGCGATCTGAAGCTGCATGGCGGAGTGCTCAGTCTCGAACGCGGCGCGGTCGACTAGAGAGATCTTGTGGTGACTGATGTCGACGTGCTGTGCCCCAGCAGCGGTACCCTCTCGAAGTCGTCGAGCGAGAGAGAGGTCTTGGTACCAGACGGCTCTGGCAATACTACGGAGTGCGAGTGCACGGCTCTCGAACGGCTTGAGCTCGGAGGCGGAGACAGAGGTGATGGTGTCGCGAGCCTTGCACGCCGCCATCTTCATTACGCGCTTCATTGCCCGCCAGTTTGAGATGGGGTCAGCTGAGAGGCCGGCTATCTCGACAAGGCGACTGCAGTAGAACTTGTAGTGCTTGGATTCGAAGAGGAAGGCAGGGATGCCGCGCTCGCTGACTGGACGTGGTTGACGAGGTCGAAGCCGTAGATATAGAATCTTGCGGTCGCTGATGGACTCCCCTTCTCGGTCGAGCGGTCGGCCATCGGCAACAAGAAGTGTCTCGGCGCGCGGGATGTTGGACGCGTTGATCGAGACGAAGCATCCGTCGATGGACGCCTCCGTCATGTTGGCCACGCGTCGGTGAGCGGTGGCCTTCGTAGTGATCTCCATCATCTGTGAGAAGATGTTCTTCCAGAAGGCAGGCTGGTAGTGGTAGCGCTCGGCGGTGGAGACCGCAGCGGGATGAAGCGGGTTCTTCGGCGGTGTCTGGGCGATATTGAAGTCACCAATCATGTAGTAGTCGTGGTTGTCTGGGCGGAGGGCTGAGCGTTGAGCAGCTGCTTGCCACGCAGCTTTGAAGCGCTGACGGTCAGATCCGCTGAGGTCGTAGTTGTGAATGCTGAAGATTGTTGTCTCATGCTGTCTTGTCCCGTCTTGAACGCGTAATTCACCAAAGCGTCCAGGGGCGATCGCACGAAATGAACGTAGAGGCCGTTGCTCAGGCGGCAGTTGGAGTTCAGCTCGGTCAAAGGGAACCAGGAAGGCGATTCCGCCTGCGGTCTCCGATGATTGGCCGTCATTCACAAGCGCTGAGTGGAAGGCGATGTACTTGTGGTCGGAGCTTGCGGCCAAGAGGTCCATGTCGATGCTGTTGCCGTGTGTCTCTTGGATGGCGATGACCGCTCGTTGCCGCATGTAACGGACTAACAACTGTCTCTTGAGGGCCCGCCTTGTTGCCGATCTGCCATTGAGCGCCTGTGTATTCCACGAGACCAAGTTGAGGCCGTCGCCGCGTGGCTTCGTGAACCACGGCGACCATCGCACGCTAAAGCCACCGCACTGCCTCCAGTGGGTTGGCGAATGCGGCGGCCAGCGCGGTAGCCAATGGCGAATGCTCGGTGATAGGGATGCGAGCGGGGGCGGCAGCGTCTGACCAACGAACTTGGCTGGCTGCGCCAGGAGCGGCGCCAGCTGTGGCCTGGACGATGGGCGCGCCGTCGACGGACAGGAAGCCTCCAGCGCGGTGAACCCGAGTCTCGGGCGTGGGGAACTTGTCATTGATGAGCTTGTTGAGCTTTTTGAGTTGAACTTCTTGGCGGACCATGCGCGGCGACTTGTCCGCGGAGACGTAGAGGGCAGTGGGTCCCGAGTCCGATTCAACCTGGAAGCGGCGCCATTCACGACCTTGCCGAAGTGCGCGATGTAGAGCTTGTGCTCGCGGGAGAGCAATCGCGTTGACGCCAGTGAGTGTGAACGAAATTCTCCGCGCAGGGCCCTGGGAGTTGATGCGGAGTGCATTGATGTCCAAGTCGGCGGCTTCGAACCAGGAGGCGAGCGCATTCTTGAGCGAGGCGACGGAGAATTCTGAGGCAGCCCCACACCAGAAGGTTGCAGCATTCGGTGGTCGGTCCCAAGCACCCAGGGCGTCCAAATCCATGGCTGGGTGGAGAGCTTCTGCATGGGGAAGAGCTTGCTGCAGGGCGTCCACACTTGCCTTGAGTTCACCTTGGAGGCGTTCAGCACGATCAGCACGGCCTTTGAGTTCGGTAATATCCCTCTCGGCGGACTCCTGGCGGTTGCTGAGCTGTTCCGTGAGCTTCGTGATGTTGGCCAGGAACTCAGCTTGCGCAGCAGCAGCAACTTGTTTGGATGTGGCTTCGAAGGCGGCGGCGGCTTTGTCGACCTGGGTCTGGAGGAGATCGGTGAGCACTTTCCGCTGGTGTGCGGGGAGGTCGATCGCGGCGAGCTTCTGAGCTCCAGCGGCCCAGGGGTCGGCGGCAGCAGAGTCCTTGCCCTTGCCCTTGTCGACGTAGTCGGCCCAGGAGTCTGAGGAGCTGGCGACACCCGGCACACCCATCGCGAGGCTATCGGGCGAGGGGCCAGCGCTGGCGGCGAGAGATATGTAAGCTGCGCCTCAGCAGCGAAGGATATGGAAATGCTCAACGCCGCGGGCACGGCGAAGGCGGAAAGCAGCGGTCCTAGCAGTCCCCGGACCAGGGGTCTCCGTGCTCTGCCACGGGGCACAAACATCTTGAGCCAAAATGGCTACGGAGGCAGGAGGAGGACGAGGAGGTGGAGGAGGAGGAGGGACGAGGATGGAGGAGAGGGAGGAGAGTATTTCGAGGAAGTTCCCCTGTGCGCACCTGCCGAACCTCCCTCCCTCCCCCGCGCTGGCAGCGGCGTGCTCTTTCTCAGTCTTTCTCCCCCGGGCGCCGCCGCCGCTGCCGGCTGCGGCCTCCGGCGCCGCCCGCGGCGCTCTGCGGGGGGCGGCGGTGAGGCCGGGGTCCGAGGCACGACGCCGGGACTCCTGGTCGCCTCCGGCGCGACAGGCCGCGGCAGCGGCGGCGGCGGCGGGAGCGGGCGAGGCCCCGGAACCCCGCGGGCCGTGGACAAACCCTGGGACCCTGGCGTGTCAACGTTTTCGAGCCTGACGGTTGCATCTTTTGCTCGGGCCCCGGGAGAGAAGACAGCAAACCCTCCTCGCCGCCCCGGCCGCCTGCGCGCAACCAGGGCGCACAAGGAGGAAGAGGAGGAGGGGGGAAAAGGGGACCAGCGTAAACCCTGACGAGGGAAGGGCGAGAAAACGAGGACGACGCGGGAGGAGGAGGAGGAGGAGGAGGAGGAGGAGGACCAGTGTAAACCCAAGAGTCATCAACGATGTTGGAATAAACCCTCCCTCCAAGCTCCCTCTTCATAGGCCCCTACAACGGTTCATTTCCATTGAAGGAACTGCCTCTTTGGAAGGCAACCGTTTGAAAACCTTGCTGCACATTCCAAAGAATTGCTCTCGGGACGCCAACGCCACGGATCAACCTGACTGTTGCGTCTTGACAATCCTGAATCGCGCCAGAACGCCATTCCTGAGACTTCAACTCAGCGAATCAACAAAACTGCTGCACCCGCATAATCCTGAATCCTTTTGAACCACAATTTCTGGCAGGTTGATGATGGGAATACATTAAATGGTTGCAAATGTTTAAAACGAATGTGCGCCGCGCTGAGGCGAGAGCCACATTTTGAAAAAGAGCCACCCTCTATCCCTGAAACTCTTGCCAATATTAACACGAATGTGCGCCGCGCTAAAGCGAGAGCCACATTTTGAGAACGACCCGCCATCCATCCTTGAAGCTCTTGTAAACGAATATGCGCGGCGCTAAAGCGAGAGCCACATTTTGAAAACGGCCCGCCCCCCATCTGTGAAACTCTTCCAATTTCCAAGCTTCAGAGTCATACATGGTGAAGAAGTCTCAGGCGAAACGCCTTGCCCGCCCTAAAAAATTGCCTCGGTGTGCGACAAGGAAAAGATGCTCATAAGGAAAAGGAATGGAGGAGGAGGAAAAGGATGAGGAGGAGGACGAGGAAGAGGGGGAAGGGGAGAAGGGGGACCAGTGCAACCCCAAGACTCCTCAACGATGTTGGAGTACACCCTCCCTCCAAGCTCCCTCCTCACAGGCCCCATACGAAGATTCACTTCCACTGAGGGGAATGCCCAGCTGGGGGACAACCGTGTTGAAGTCCTGACACGTGCCAAAACACCATTCTCAGGACGTCAACGCCACGAGTCGATCTGACTGTTGCGCGAGGGGGAGGAGGAGAAGAGGAAGGACCCAGACATGCGACGCACTGATCTATTCAGTAGAGGGCCCCTGGAGGTCTGGACCCCAGCCCCTAAAGGCCGGGCTTTTCACCCCGAGCCGTTTTCTGACGGCCCCAGGGCCCGGCAGCACTGGAGAGCAAACACAACCGAAAGCCTCCCGCCGTGACTTCGCAAAGCAGCGAGGACGTGTGGCTTCGATCCTCCAGCCTCGCGCCTCGGAATCGGGGGCGAAGGCCGCATCCGTATCCGAGGCCTCGCGGGCCGGCGACCGCGTGTCCGCGGGATCGCGCCCCGGAATCTGGACCGCGAGGGCGCGGATACACTGACGGCATTCGATGAGGATCCATTGGCTACGGGATCCAGGGTGTGGACGCCGGTGGGACTCCGATCGTCGACTGTCCATGGACATCACTGCCGCCCTCATCAGATAAATCCCCCAGGGTCTGAAGCCTTGTGCGCACACTCCCTGACCAACGCCCCCACCGTACGGATATGTTCGCCGCTCATAACCAATCTGCAAGGATCCGCGACTACGAAGGGTGTGGATTGCAAAGGGTGTGGTTTGCAACAGGCACCCTGGGAGGGCACCCTGAGGGGCGGGCGGGGACCTCGATTGAGCACTCCGCCGCGCCCAACGGAGGCTCGACGAGGACAGCCTCGTGCTCCCCAGGCCCCAACGGCGCCGATCGCAAACCACACCCCATCGTAAATCGCCTTCGTGGGGAAACCAACAGGCACCGAGACCGCCACTCCCCAGACCGAGGGGCGTGCTGACCGGAATCTCGAGGCGAATCCGGCGGTGGCGAATCCGGCGGTGGCGACGAGGGCCTCCCAGGAGGCCCCAAGAGGGGAAAACGAGTTTTTGAATCGAAAAGACAATTCTCTGAATTCGAAGAGCTGGGGGGGGAAAAAAAAAAAAAAAAAAAAAAAAAAAAAACTATTAAATTCAGAAAAACTGGATTTTGAGTCCAGCGGACTGATTTGTGAATCCCAAAAAACTGGCTTCTGAATTCCAGAAACCTGATTCGACATGCAAACAAGAACTGGGTTCTCGAAGTCGAAAAGCGAGGGAAGGAGAGCGCTCTGGGCACCTCTTCCTCCTCCGGGGCCCCGGCGAGGCGGGCCGAGCGCGCCGGGCGTCGCCTCGGGCGGCCGCAGCGCCGCCCGCAGCCGACGCCCTGCGCTGGAGCGCGGCGCCTGCGCCCCGGCCCGCGGCTCCGGGCGCCGCCTGCGACGGCCCTCTCTCTCGTGTTCTATCTTTCTGAGGGGCCTGTTTTCCACCACCACCACCACCATAAGTTGGAGGGGGTACTCCTCCTCGACCTCCACCTCCACCTCCTGCTCCTCCTCCTCCTCTCCTCCTCCTCCTCCTCCTCCTCCTCCTCCTCCTCCTCTCCTCCTCCTCCTCCTCCTCCTCCTCCTCCTCCTCCTCCCCTCCTCCTCCTCCTCCTCCTCCTCCTCCTCCTCCTCCTCTTCGTCGCCCTCCTCCTCCTCCTCCTTCTCCTCCTCCTCCTCCTCCTCCTCTTTCTCCTCCTTCTCCTCCTCCTCCTCCTCCTCCTCCTGCTCCTCCTCTTCCTCCTCTCCCCCCTACAACTTCTGGTGGTGGTGGTGGAAAACAATCCCAACATTCGTTCAAGCTCTGGAAACTTACACTTTCAGCTGTTCGTGCTCTGCTGGGTGTGAGTTGCGCCGGCTGCTTGAGAGGCCTCGTCCAGGGCAGTGGCCTCAGCACGGAAGACTGTGCACGGGAACTCGAGGAAAGTACCATGCACCATCAGCGGTTCATAAGAGCACTGCCCGTCGAGCCGGCCCCAAAGTCCGCTAGTCCACGCAGCAGCTGCGCAATCACCATCACGAAGTCCACCATCTGTTTGGATTATCACGTTGGCGCTCTGGATACCATCGTGGTGGTGAAACTCTTCTGCCGTGCCCTCCCCGCGCCCCCACCAAGACAGCCAGTATCCCCGGGGCATGCCAGGGTAAGCTGACATCGGTGTGCCGTTCCCTTTGTTGTCCCGACACGCAGCACGCAGCGCGCGGCGCAGGGATGCGGGGCTCAGCACGGAGACGGAGCACGTGGGTCCGGCGCGACACGTTCGCCGCAACGCGGGCCAATTCGCTGAGCCAACACGCAGCGTGTTAGCGCGGACGTTTTGAACACCGAACGTGCTGCGTTTCACAACGAGCGTATCAGGGCAGCTCAGGCTGTTCCGCAGCAAGCAACGAGGCTATCGACAAGCCTCCCACAGCTCACACATCCACTGGTGCCGCGGAACAACTCGCACTCCCGTCACAATCATGAGAGCCAGCGGGTCACTAGGACCAGTCAGCAACGAACAGGTGAACTGGATCAAAACGAAATGTGCATCGGATCGGGGCTGCATCGGCACAGAATCAGAATCGGATCGGATTGGCTGTCCAGGGTCTCTCCATTTCTACACTCCGTGGCACCCAAGATGCCTAAGATTCCATCTAAGCTTGCTCAAGCTGGGCTCCAACACTCCAAGGAGGCCTCAAAAACACAACCAAGACAGCCTGAAGACGGCCCATGAAGCCTCCAAGACGTCCACGGAGACCTCCAAGAGGACCCCCAAGAGGGCCCCAAGAGGCCAAAATCGCCGAGATTCACGGGAAAGCTTACATGCTTAACATATTCACCCAAAGCGGCGCAAGAGGCCCCCCAAGATCGCTCCAGGACGGCTGAAGAGGCCCCTAGGAGGGCCCCAAGACCGCCCAAGAGACTAAGAGAGGCCAAGAACGGCCCCAGAGGCGCCCAAGACGGCCGAGGAGGGCCCCAAGGCGGGCCCAAGAGGGCGAACTCGAACTTTCGTCGAGACCAAAGCCTTTAGCTCGCTTTGTGCGCCTCCGTAGAAGTCACTGCTGCCTCCGTGAGAGGCCTTCAGATAACAAGGAACAGTACACCAGCAAGCTCGGCGTAACTTAGCCGCCACAAGGAGGGACATTGGCCGCATGAAGGGCGATCCAACAGCAGCGGCAGCGAGGAGAGGGAAGAGACCCAAAGGTCGACATGGAACCGAAGGAGGAATGCTAACAGGAAGCTGGAAAACACGTGGATACATTCACATGAAGAACATCTGGGACAACGGGCAGGATGTGTATGTATACATATATGTAAACATTTACATGTATGTATGCGTATGACTGTGAATGTATGTGTATGCATGTGTATATGAATATATGTATATAGATTATAGCAATATATGCAGAAGGCTGGCGAGCTGGGCCACCGAAGGCCCTGGCGCTTGAAAGGCATGCGGGCGCATGTGTATCCGGCCCTTGCCCAGGCTGGCAGCGCGTTGTGTATTCGGCCCCTGGTAGGACTGCGAAAGAGCCTCGCGACACATCCCAGACTCCCGACGTCTCGATGTCTTCACAAGGTGAAACCCTGGACGTCTCGACCTCTCCCCATGGGACCCTGGGATCGGCTTTAGTCCCGCCGCCCATTTTTCGACGGCCCTGGGACCTGGCACGAGCACCCAGAAAACGAAAATTGCTTTACAGAAAGCATCGCCCATTTTCCCAGAAGCGAAGGGCATCTGACTACCTACCAGACCACCCCAACCCAAACCCGAAGATCCGAATTTGACCCGAATTTCGGGCTGGGGGAGGGTACGGGTTCCAGGTGTTTTTTCAGTGTTCCCCGATCCCGCCCCCCACTGGAAATGGAGGGCAAATTGAGGCCTTCGGGTTGGGTTGGGGT